TTCAAATCCATTTTCAAAACCATTTGAATTATTTTGAAGTTTGGTTTCAACCACACAATAAAAATAATATGCAGCAACATGTATGGACAAACATGTAGCTAAACCTTATAATTGATTTTAATTTTAACAAAGTTATTGTTTTTCTAAGTTTGCATGCTCACAAAATGCATAAATAAACCATTTTAAGCTATTTTTTAAAAAATGCAAATTTTAGGATGTTACAGAACCGGTCCTTATTTGACCGAGGCGAGTATCTCCTAACTGGAATCCTCACTAGGCGATCCTACCAAAGTAACTTGTACCACACAAGTTACCTCACTCACTTGCCCCGTATCGTTGTTTAGTTTAGGTTTACCAGTTTAAGTTATAGTTATTATCCTCATGTTCATAGAGCTCATATCATATCCGGATAATCATTTACCATATCATCATTAATCACATTATCATAGTCAAGTTCATATCATATCAAGACAACCATTTATCATATTCACCATTTATCATACTCATCATTATTCATATCATAATTGCCGAGGTCATATTTTGGATAATAATTCATTAATTCATAAAGGGATTATTTAAATAATGTACGTTGGGTTTATTGGTTAATTAATGGAGATGGAGAGGGGAGGGTTTATGGTGGAGGTTAGCAAGATGTGGTGGTGGTAGAAGGGGGGTGGTTAAGGGATGGTATATACTATGGAGGAAAAGGGATAGGTGGGGGTTAGGACTTGCCTCCGCTTGCTGACAATTATATCCTCCTCCGATCTTGTGTCTCTGGCTCCCATCTTTTGGACTCCTTCGGGTTTTCTCCATGCCTTCTATCCTACGCCGTCTAGCATTGACACAAATAAGGGAAACACCAAGCAAGGCATGCAAGACAAGCATAATCAATCAAAGGGAAAGAAACGGCCCTAGATGGGATGGTTCTATTAGGTTAATGGGTTGCTATCTAAGGTTATCACTATTATGTCAATTTGAAGTAAGGGTTGGATAGAGGGATTCCATCCATAGGGTATGGCTTCTACGGGTTAGGCTAAAGTGGTATGGTGATCTGGTGGAAAACCCAACCATATTATTATATTTCACTATTATATGAACCTAAAAGAGAAAGCCTGACCAAGTCATCAAAGATAACATGTCTGATCTCTATAGGTCCACTAGGGTTAGTGGCACATACACACATGCATATGTATGTGCCTAAGATTAATTAGGATGGAGAAAGGCGGGATGTAAAGTTAGCCATACATAGGTGTATACCAGGCGTATAGGTGTCTTATACACGGGGCATCTCCATGTATGTATATACATTATTATTTTAGGTGATTGGATGTGGGTATATTCGAGTATGTGTCATGGTTCACACACATTCGCGAATATATGAGGTTAGCTACTACTACGGCCTAGTGCTAAATTAAAAATAAGAAGGAAGAACAATCAAACTAGAATTTAAATGGTCACCAAATAAAGGAACAAGGGTATGAATATCTAGGGCTTGATTTTAGAAGATTTTTGTGGTGGAATCAAGTGATTTGGATTTAGGATGGAGGAGTTATGATTTATCAAAGATTTAATAGGAAAAGAATAGGTGGAATATAATTTGGAAATTATTTCTAGAAATTAGAATAATGAAAATGGGATGAAAGAGCTTGGGTAGGTTTTGGGGTGTACCTAGTTTATTTAGAAATTTTTTTGGGAATTTTTCTATGCATGGAAAATGGATTTTCACTCCTCCGTGTAAACTGTCCGGGTGTACCTAGTGTTTTCTCTTCTGCCCAGAGGCTGACGTGTGGGCCAGTGCGGGTAGGGTCAGCCTGACGGCACTGTGCTGTGCGCCGAGCGTTCCCTATGCTATAGACCGCTCGCTCCATCTCTTTGTGTCCACGTGAACAGAGTCTACGGAGATTGAGGGAAAGGAGAGGGCGGCTGCCTGGCTGACGCATGGGGTCCGTGTGTCGGTGCCTTGTGCCACTAACGTGTGGGCCATCTCCATTTCCACTCATCTGACTGGCGTGGACGTCGTTATGCCTTGGGCCCATGGATCAGAGGGAGAGTGAAAGACGGAGGAGGGACGGCGACGGGCGGCGGCGTTGACATGGCGGCAAAGCAGGGGAAGGGCGCGGGGCCTTGCTGGAGTGGGCGTTACCAGTGGTGTCTCCGACCAAAGCTCGATGTAATAGGACGGACGATGCTCCCAAGGCCATCTCGCAACGCCTGAAGCAGTCGACGGTGACGAACGGTGCTCGAGGCGGCGGTGGTGCCTTGCCGAGGCTACGGTGGCGGTGAGGTGACGAGTAGGTGCTCCTCCCGGGCGTTCTAGTGAATGGGGAAAGGCGTCGTGTGGTCTCCGTGCACCAGTGAGCGCGTAGCGGGGATGTCTTGGTTTGTCCGTGCCTTGCCGGCGTCGAGCGCTGGTAATGGTGGCTCTGCGGCGGCTCCTCACGGAGGCAGAACCACACAGAGGGACTAAAGAGCCAGCAAACGGTGGAGTGTGGTAGAGGAGGGGCCTAGGAGCTCGCCTGTTAATCCTATAGATCTATGGTGGACTGGGGAGAGGGAGCTTGGAGCGCGGTGGACCGGATTGGGGGAAAACGAGCTAGCGCTCGGGAGAGGAGGGGAGAGGAAGAACCAAGGGGGAGATGGTATGTTCCTACACTAGGCGTAGCTCATGGTGCTGCTGGTTGAAGCTGGGGAGCTCGGGTCGGGCCCATTTATAGGTGGCGAAGTCGGTTCGCGCTGGCGAGATATTTCCTCATCACACCTCGGTTCCGCACGCTCCAAGCTTCCTTCCCGTGCATGCATTCAAACCTAAGGCAGTGCGCAATAGTGTTATCTTATACACTGCCTGGCTGGGGGTGAGTTGGAGTCGGAGCGCGGCTATGGCGGCGGCAACGGTCGAGCACCTGAGAGCTGCCACGTGGCGAGGAGATGAAAGGACTAGGGCACCGAGAAGCTTCGGTGGGGTCCGTGGCATCCTTGATCTTATCCACTTCGTTGGGATGAGTCGGTGGTGGCGCGGTCGAGGCGACGTACGACGACTCGGTATTCCCATCGTCGTCGTCGAGAGGAAGACGATGCTGACGAGCGGGCCCGAGGTGTCAGCGAGCGCAAGAGAGGGGAACGGGAGTGGGCGCGTGTGGTGCTGCTGCTGGGACGTGTTACTGGGCCGGCCCAACGGAGAGGAGAGGGTGATGGTTCGTGCGCTCGGTTGGGCTGGGGACAGCTCGTTGCTGAAGGAGGAGCGGGCCGCGGCGCGGGCTAGAGAGGGGAGAGGGGAGAATTGAGCCCGAGTTCCATTTCCCTTTTATGAATTCCTTTTCTTTTTCCCAAAAAATAAACTAAGCACATTAGAGTTGATTTGAATCTGAATTTCAATGGAACTTGTTGGTGGATGAGTTGGGGTAATTCAAGGGAAGATAAAGGGAATAGTCAAGGGAATTTAGAAAGGGAAATATCAATGAATTATTTGGAGGGAAATTGCCAAGGTGATTTATTCGGTGCCAAAATAAATTCTAGGGCAAACATAAGCATTCAAATATCTCAAACACTCAAACAATCATTTCACACACAATGCATATGGTGAGTTTTGATGCAGGGTTTTCGAAAAACATTTTAAAAATGGTTTTGTAGAAAATAAAGTCAAGGTTTTAATTTGTTGTAAAGTTTTAAAAAGCTCAAATTTTTAGTGGCTTTTATCATGATGCAAAACACATGGTGTTACAATAGATCTCCTCGATAGTTACCAATTTCATAAAAAAATTATCTCTATCCAAATCATATGAAAAAGATTTTTTTAAAGGTGGAAAGGTGTGTTGCCACACCAGTCCAGGTGGTAAAAATAGAGTTGCCATGGTAACGTGAGTATAACAGATGCCGAGGTTTTTTATAGGAAAAATATACATACATCGGCAGAACCCTCTCGCGAACGAGTTAGTTCCCTGAGGACACTATAATTTGTACTCCCTCAATCCTAAATTATAAGTTATTCTAATTTTTTCAAGAGTCAAAACATTTCAAATCAAATTTATATAATAAAATAATAATATTTATAATATCAAATAAGTATCATTAGATTCTTCATTAATTAAATTTTTATAGTAATATCTATTTGATGTCATAAATCTTTATAATTTTCTCAATAATTTTGGTCAAACTTTGAGAAGTTTTGACTCTCTAAGAAAGTTGAAATAACTTATAATTTGAAATGGATGGAGTGATTATGAAAATTACTCGAGAAGTTTGAGGTTGCGACTGCAGTTAGTGTTAGTGATCGTTTCCACATGGACGGCATCCTAGGATTGCGTGTAGAAAGTGACCCAGATGAGCACTGCAGCTGCAGAACTGGCCATCGATGTGGGCGGCCAGATTTTGCTAGATGTCTTGGCTCGGAGAAGAAAAGACATTGTTGGTTTCAGATTTTTTTTCTTTTTTTTTTTGCTGGCATCGGCCGGCCACATTAAAACAAACACTTAGATATTGAGGTGGCTTTTAAAAAGTTGATTTCTGATGAGAAAATATACTAAGTTGAAAGCACCCGCTGAGATGATTTTATTGGCTTCTGGTGTGCCGAGAAGATAAAAAAATTATTAAAAATCAATAGCAAAAAGCTAAAAGCGAGAAGCCAAAACTAGAAAGTTAGGCTTCCTGTGTCGATGTATGCTTAAGGAACCCCAATCGAGGATCCATTTCAATGTTAAATGGACTCGGACCCATTTTGTTAACCCCATGGTTCTTGGGCTTCTTGCTTGCAACAGGTGGAAGGATTTCATCAGCGATGCAAGGCCATAGATCAGCTCGTGCGGGATAAACAATATGAGGCGCAAGTTGATCGTGACCTGAATAGAGTGGTGATACTATATTTTCCATATATTTATCTTACTTACAGTGCGTGTTACAATTATCTCCCACATCACGCTGCTGCAATGCACTTCTTCACATTAATGCACATATATAGAGCAGCATGAGTTTGTATTTTACGGAAATGCATTCTCTTTTCACAACAGATGGAGGGTAACGCGGCTTTGGAACTGGCGTTGAGGACGGGCTATCCAGTGTTGGTCGCAATGCTGGACGATCTGAAATACATGTTCAGCCTGCAGGTACTCTCGTACGTGCACGGGGAATAATCCATCATTGCCTGGTTTTGGCCTCTATTTTTTTTAAAAAAATGTCTGTACAGGGAGCTATGCCAAGTCCTCAAGTCATCAACCTGTACATCTGTGTTCCTGCCATTAAGCTCGACAACCGTTGTCTGGACCTTGGATTAGCAGGAAAGATCTCGTCACTCCAGGTAATCAAGGCCCACGTCATCTGTTCCTTATGCTTCCCAACGGAGGTGGAGGAAGTGGAAGCCGAGTTGAGGCAGGCGATCGACATCCACCACGCCAGCAACCCTCCGACGCTTGAGATCATAAGATACGGTGAAGATAAAATGGTGAACTCTGATTCAGATCCGCAGATGTTTGAACGACAAAAATGGAGGGTACGTTACTGCCTGCTTTGCATTATACGGTATCAATGCTCAACCTCTGCCTTATACCAGCTAAATAAAATTAACAGGAGGGCTATAGAGTCTGGGAACAAGTTGTGCATCAGAAGCAACTTCATAGGTTACTGTGGCGTGAGGCATTGGAGATGGTTCAGCAGAAATCCGACATGAATCTCAGCGGTGATGCAGAACATCAGGTACTCTCCACATGATCATTAGGGCCATGAATTCTGAACCCATGGATTGTGAATGGAAATAATCATACTATCAAGTAGCTGTACACCTTTCAAACTTCACTGCTTGCTCTTCTTTTTTTCTTTTTTCTTTTTTGACCCTTGTGGTTGTTGGCCACCTTGTTTGCAGAAGCAACGATTTGATGAGCATTTCAATACCACCTTTGTCCGTGTGCAACATGAACTACTTCGGGTGGATGAAAATATACCTAATCCTGATCTCAAAAGAGTGGTAATGTGTTCTCCATTGCTATGACTATGTAGAATCATCTCTCACATTATTATGATGCTTCATTCAATGTACATTATTACTTTGTGCTGGTTAATTACTCATTATTTATATATCATTTGCGCAAACTTAGTTCCATATATACAATTCTTGACTAGCCCATCCATCGAGATCTATTTAACACAAATGCTTGCATGCTGCTGTCAACAGACGGAGGACATTGAGGATATGGAACAGGCGCTCGAGATACTCACGGTTGAATATCCACGGTTGGCTCAAATGCTGGAGGAACTGAAAACTGCACTCAGCTTTCAGGTTCTCATTTTTATATATATTATTAAAGGGCATTGGTTTCTGCTCCTCTCTTTTCCGGCACAATAACAATAATATACATATTAATTCCAGGCAGAGGATGAGGATGAGGACGATGAGGACGAGGATGAGGATGAGGACGAGGTCACTGAGGAGGTGGTCTCCGCAGCCTCTGTCTGAAACAGAAGGAGAAGAGCCAATTCACTTATATCCAATCAATGATCCGCCGGTTTACATAATTCACGCCTGTGAGGCAGCCATCAAGCATCCTAATAATCTTTTCAAGGACAAATTTGCCGTGGCTTGTGAGTCCACTTTTTTTATTTTAGTTGAATCATCAGGTATGTTACGTTTTACGTCTTGTCGTTGGGGTACAACATATATACTCTAAATTCGTAACAACTCTGTTTTGAGTCGACGAATAATAAAGTACTATGTAGACACTGCGTAAGACGCCTTTAACCCTGGAATAACAGGAAGATTTTTCTTTGAGTATATAGCTTAGAAAAATATGTGAAAACAGGGATTCACCTCTCGAAACCCCATCCAGAGGCGATTTTAATCCTCAGTGGCCGGTGCTGTCCAGTTTTCCAGCTAAGAGCAAGTATAATAAGGCTTAGTCAGCAGGCTGCACCATGTTACACGCCATCAAAATCCTAAGTGGAGCAGTGAGAAGATAAGAGAGAGAAGGAAGCGGGCGGTTCATGAAACGCCCGGTTGAATCACGTGTTACGAGATAGAAACGCCTGCTCTCAGCCCGGTGCCGGCGATAACTCGGCGCTTGCTTGACCTACGTCCCAACTTCCTGATCCCGTGCGCCGATACTGCCCTCCCAGCTCCCACGCCTGAAGGGCCACACGGGATACTAGACCGCACTAGATCGTGTATGTACACGCACACATTAAATGCTCACTCTGTGTTAAACCAACCTAATAGCCGGTTAATGGTTAGCCTATTATATCAGTTAGCTACAGTATTAGCTTTATACGACGTGGCAATGTCATACAACCGACTGCCGGCTAAGTTATTAACCATGCTCTAAGGCCGCCACCGGCGCTGGCGCAGGCACACAGGGGAGGCGATGGGACTCAAATGCCTGCTCACTGTTGCTAAGGTCTGTCGAGCAGGTAGGGAAAATTTTTATTTCTATTCGCCCGAACCAAACAAAAAATCTTAGGGAGAATTATGTATTTGGTACTGAAACAAATCAGTCTTCCACATTTGGTACTAAACAATTTGAGGCACCAAGTTGAAATTTCCTTCCCTAGATAGCACTGCCGTCCATTTGGGCTAGTAACGGCGTCAAGTGACTGGTAAAATAACATGAATGCCCTTCTTTATAGCAGAAATACATGATGACAAATAGGAAAATAATAGATGGACAGGTTGTCAAATAAGAAAATTATAAATATCACAAATATATTGTGAACTAAAACATGGGACTTTGATAATAGAAGTCTGCAATGAAAGCTTCAGCAGCTGGACTATGCATGTTCTTCCTGCTGTAGTCCCTTGCTTTCATACTAATGAACAGTGGAGTACCAAAAAGATCATGATACAAACACTCGACAACTCTGCTCATGTGTATGTTCCAAATCAAGCAGCCAAGCCCCACCTCCTTATCAAAAGTTACAGGCCAGTACAAGCTGAATAATGCCAGAATGCACTGTAAGTTCCGGTACCCATAGACAGAAGCAATAGCCAAAAAGAGAACCCATGGAATTCCATGGCCTGATGATCGATCAACAACTCCCATATTCTCACTGGAGTCCCATCAATCAATTTTACTATGATGAGTTCAGTAGCACGAAGAAGACGAGGAACATGTTCAGAAGATTGATCAACTGGTTTCAATGTTGTCATCATCGTGACATGAACAGAAATCTCATTCCAGGGCTTGAATCCTTGCCCTGCCACTACTTTAGTTTGGTAGGAATAGAACAATTTCCTTGTTACTGCTCCCAGATCACCACCACCACTGATTAGCCGTCGAACTGAAGGTAAGCATTGGGGCGTCCAAGTCCATGGGGGCTTCCAAGGAAAACAGAAATACCAAATCATCTAATAACCATCAACCATACTGAAGAATAACCAAGGCAGCAGAGTCAAAATATGCATGTCGCTCAATAGCAGAAGTAGCAGAGGTGGAGGCCCTGGTTGACGCTGGAAAAGCACTAGACATTCAAAAGCTTCATCAATATCCCTTAGCCGATTACCTTCAAGCAAGAAACACCGACACTTGCCACCACACTTCCGCTGTACTAGCTCTGGAATCAGTGCATAGCCAACCATACTCACTTATAGCACCAATATACATGTCAGAAGCTCCTTGTTGAACTTGTCTACTTGCCCTGCAGGTTTGAGTAATTCATGGCAATGCTGCCCACATTGGACCACACGCTCAATAATTTTCCATTTAAAATACTTGTGTGGTAAAGATGGCTCTGTGAGCTGCCAAAATTGACTGAAACACAACTGATGAGTATTCAACAAGAGCCCCCCTAATACTATGTTACTGACACTCAACTCAAACACCCCCAAAAAATCAGCTGCACATGAGGAATGTTGTATTGCCTTACCAAACAGTTGGAACCAGGTAATTTCTGTAACAGGGGCAAGCAGTATACTAGCACCATTATGTAAGAGAAAATTCATGTTACGTACAGTCCCACAAACACATGCAGGTAGTGGCCAATGGACCTTGAACCAGATACAGTCCCAGTTCATCACCAGATCCTGACTCTTCTAGCTGTAATGAGATGCAAACGAAAGAGAGGTCCCGCAACTATGCACTCTGAATTGTAGCAAAGCCACTTGCCACTTGAACTGTATTACCAATGAAAGATGGCCAGAGTGTTAGCCTAAGTTGAACTCCATTGCCCTGCATCCCAAACTGCTCCAGTGGCGGCCATGGTTGCCTATGCGGCACTGCATCCCAGCTACGACAGGATGGAGGCGAGAAACAGCTATGTATGCTCTTGTCAACCAAGGATTGAGTTGAGGGTACACAGTCAGTACATAGCATGTTTGACATATGCACCTGATCTGGCCTAGGGAGGCTGCCCTGTGGCCTGTGCGCTGGGAGCCGCCGCCACGCCGCCTCTGCCACGCTGCTGGCTGGCCGAAGGGGCCGCGCCGCCTCCGCCACGCCGCGGGCTGGCCGGAGCGTCGGCCCTGCCGCCGCGACCGCGCCACGGCCTGGCTCCGCCGGGTGAGGTCGCCCGCCAGAGGGCACGCGCAGCTGGTGCTGGGCGCCGCCGGCCGCAACATCCTCTGCTCCATCATCCTCTCCTCCTCCTTCCATCAATCTAGGGTTTGGTGTTTTTTTCGGGGAAGAAGTTCACGGACTCACGGGAGACAGGAGCGCTCGGCCGCTTGGGAAGTCCAGGGAGAAATTGGATGCATGAGTAACAGAGGGTATGTTGGTTACACTAAGAAAAAACTGACACGGTCAAAATAGTCAACTAACAGATGAATGAATGAAATGGACGGTAGTGCCATATAGGTAAGGAAATTTTAACTTGGTGCCGGATAAGAAAGTTCAAATGTTTAAGTGACAAATACAAAATACTTATTTGTTTCAGTGCCAAATACATAATTCTCTCAAAATCTTAATGTCCACAAAACTGAAACTAAATAATCTGATTCAAAATCAAACTATACAACAACAATAAAGCCTGTCAGTCCCAAGCAAGTTGGGGTAGACTAGAGTTCAAACCCACCAAGAGCCCCTAGTCACGGTTCAGATACATCAATAGCTGCTCTCCAAGCACTCCTATTCAAACATAGATCTCTAGGTATATCCCAAGCTTTCAAATATCTTTTTATTGCCTCCTCCATGTCAATTTCGGTCTACCTCTACCTCTCCTCATATTATTAGCTTGGCTTATGACTCCACAATACACTGGCCTCTACCTCTCTAGATATAGTTTGATTCAAAATCAAACTATAACAAAACAAAATGATCATAAAAAGAGAAGTTCAGAGGTAAGTGGTTAATAAGTGGATCTTGTTGACGAATAAATTTGGACTGCGTCAACAGATCTCATCTCATTGCGGTCAAAAAACAGATCTCATCTCATCACTATATTATAAGTGATACCTGAAAGTAACAACCAGCATGGCAACATGAAAGTTGCTTTATCTAGTGAATCTGGTATCTTAGAAAGAAAAATCAAGTCACTATAAAAAACGCGGAATCACAGGAACAACATAATCCCCAATGTTTTTCACATCACAAGTTCCATGTGAAAATTACTTAAGCTCTGAATGTGCATGGTGAACAAGTCGATAATAAAATAGTTAGATGGGATGGGAGGAACCATGCCCTAAACTCTAAACCCTAAATCCAACAGGTGGCACGGCCGGGGTGAATCACCAGCCCGAAGGAACAGGCCGTCAGGCGGAGCCTACCAGGCGCCAGCCCAGGTCGGCCGGGGTGAATCACCAGCCCGAAGGAACAGGCCGTCAGGCGGAGCCTACCAGGCGCCAGCCCAGGTCTGGAAGGTTAAGGAACACAAGAAGGAGAAGAAGGCAAAGAGGGTCTCCTTTGCAGACCCTATTGCAACTGAATTGAAGCCCCCCAAGCGCTCTATCACTGATGACAACATTATGCTTATCAAGGTGGCTAACAGCACCACCCTGAGCAGCAACAAGGAGAAGGAAGGGGGACAGGTTGGCCACACTGCCAACAACTCCTTCACGAAGATGGCAGAACCTGAGGGGATGCAGGGCAAGGCCGCAAGCAGTGATTACTGTGGCATCACTCCAAGTGAGGAAACAACACCTCCTAATATTACTCCTAATGCTACTGATAGTTCTGCGTTTGAGGTTACTGCTAATTGCGCGTGTACAGGCACAGCTACAACGCCTAATACAACTCCTATTTCATGTACAGAGCAGGAGGCAGGCAAAACAGGCGAGGAGGCACTGACCGATCTGGGGATGGTACTCGAACACCTTCAGGACATCCTAGTGAGTCCCCCCCGCATGATGAGTCTGTAATCATAGAACAACCTACGGCACCCCTAAACGCCAATCACTCATCACCTATGCAAAACCCAACCATAGAGCAAGAACTTCCGGTAGGAGATGAAAGTGTCACTGCACCTCAGATAACCAACAACTGGCTCCCATAGATGCTTTTCTGGAATCCATCTCCAAACCACTCCCCCAACCTT